GCCAGGCACATTTGGACACCTCTCAAGGTGTGAAGGGCTGAGCCAGAGCAGAGCTGGTAGTGTCACACTGTGCCACCTGTCCCTGCAGTGTCACACAGCTGTGTGCTGGCCCATCAGGTGCCAGGCAGTGCCGTGGTGGCCTGTGCACCACCATGGGGGCTTGTGTGGGGCTGTAGTGGCCCATGCACAGCATGTGGTGCCACAGTGGCCCATGCAGTGCCGTGCTGGCCCATGCAGTGCTGTGCTGGCCCATGCAGTGCTGTGCTGGCCCAGCAGTGGCCTGTGCAGTGCTGGGTGGTGCTGGTGTAGCCGGAGAAGTGCTCCAGCAGTGCTGTGTGTGGCTGGTGGCCGATGGCCAGTGTGGTGCCCCAGCTTCCAGCCCCATCTAGTGGCAGCCGTGGCCACAGCCGGTCCCCAACTCTGCGTTTGTCTCCAGGCTCGTCGCAGTGGCCGCGGGCGGGTGGAGCGGGTGCCTTATCTCCCAGCTACGAAGGGAGCCTCCACACTTTGGTGAGTGGCACCAAAAATTCCAGCTTTTCCTTTTCTCTCTCATCCCTCAGGGCTTGGTGGTGAAGGGTTTTTGGGTGTCGCCCTCTCCCCATAACACCTGGAATCAGCTGGTGGGTCAGGGATGGGTATCTGGGGGGCAGCAGCTGAGCAGAGCCGAGTGCTGCATCCCTGACCTGGAGTCCCCCGGCAGCCTGGCACCCTCCCCCTGCCCCCAGCCCAGGCCCAAGGGATTCCTGGCAGGTTTCTGCCTCCCTGCCCTGAGCAGTTCCACTCATGTGACTCGTTGTGCCTTTGGGGAATGGGTTTATTTCTCCCCATCCCTGGGATACAGGTTGCCCTGCAGCACCTGATTCCAGGATTGCCACCAGCCATTCTGTACTGCAGAGCAGCAGGGGGCTGCTGGCTTTATGGGATTGCAGTCATGGAATTGGATTGGAATAACAGAAAGGTTTGGGTTGGAAGGGATCTTAAAGCTCCTACACTTCCACCCCCTGCCATGGGCAGAGATGCCTTCTGCTAGACCAGGGTGCTCCAAGCCCTATCCAACCTTAGACACTTCCAGGGGTGGGGCACTTAACACAGACCTGTCTCTGTCTTGCCCTTCCAGCAAAACAAAATGGAAGACAGGTTGGATGAAGCCATCCACGTGCTGAGGAACCACGCTGTGGGCCAGACCTCTGCCATGCCCAGCAACCACGGGGACATGCACGGGCTGCTGGGCTCAGCACCAGCACACAGTGCCACTGTGGGCAGCCTGGGCCAGGCCTTCCCTGCCTCAGTCATGGCCCTGGGGAACAGGCACCCCAGTCTGGTGAGTGTGGGAGCACTGTGGCAGCTGGCAGGGACATGCTGGGGACATGTGTCGAGTGTGGCATGCCCTGGCATTCAGAGGGACGTTACCTTTGGTGCAATAGCTCAGTGTGATCCAGCTTGGGTCAGGTGCTGGCAGCGTTGCATGGGTGACATGCACAGAAGTCAATTCCCATGTCAAATCCCATTCCAAGGGATAGTTGAGTCATAGAATCCCAGAGTGGTTTGGGTTGGAGAGACCTCAAAGTTCATCTTGTTCCACCTCCTGCCATGGCCAGGGATACCTTCCACTATCCCAGGCTGCTCCAAGCCCCATCCAGCCTGGCCTTGGACACTTCCAGAGATCCAGGAGCAGCCACAGCTGATCTGGGGACACTGAGTCCACCCTTGGCACAAGCTCTGTGTGCCCTTCCCTTGTGTCCCTTCTCAGGGCAGGCAGAGGTGGTGAGAGAGCTGCTCTTGTTCAGTATGATTGGAAATCCCTCAAAACAACTTCATGGCATCCCTGGGATATGCAGGGAGGAGAAGAGGGATTCGGTGGGTACAGGAGTGCCAGGTGTCACCAGGAGTTCCCTGCTCTGAATGGTTTGGGCAGGCACCATGTCCCTCTGTGCATGTGGGGACCACTGGTGTGTGAGGGCTCATTCCAGCTCCAGTGAATGTGATGGACCCAGGGTGCCCTGGGCACGTGGATGCTGGGGTCCCATGCAGGGTCACCCAGGTCCCCCCTTGTCTAGAGGCTGGTGACCACAGCAGCACATTTTTGGCAGAGCTGCTTGCCTGCTGCAGCGAACAGTGACACCTCTCCAGTCTCCAGAGAACCAGTTGTGATCCCTTTCCAGGCCCCCTGGATTCTGCTCGAGCAGGGAATGAGATGTGTCCTCTGTAGGCTGCTGCCAGCTGGGGAGCCAGCAGGGCTGGCTCTGTCCTGTCGCTGCCCAGCCTGTGTGGCACAGCCTTGGGGCCATGGGCTCAGAAGGGGCCCTCACTCTTTGCCTCCAGCCCCTTTGGAGACAAGTTCATGTTGCTGGGGTGTCCCTTTCTCTGGTGCCACTGGGGAGGTGGCTGAAACAATGGTCCACAGGACACGTGTCCTCTCTGGTGTGCTGGCCTTGCCCCGGCCACAGAGTGGGGGACACAGCAGTGACAGGGGCTCTGGGCTGGGCCCAGCTCCTGCTCAGAGCAGGGAGCTGCAGTGTCCCCACCACAGTCCCAGAGAGCTGGTGCTGGAGCAGGCTGGCTCTTCCCTCCTGCATTCCAGAGCTCCAGGTGTGGGAGTGTGAGGGGAGCACACGGTGGTGCCCGGTCTGTGGAGCCCCAGGGGTGTCCTTGGCTGACTGCTCGGGTCAATGTCCCCATTGCCACTGGCCATGACACACCCCCCTCTAAGGCTCACTCTGCTCCTTGTGCTGCAGGTGGGAGGAGGCCACCCTGAAGATGGGTTGTCCAGCAACCCCAGCTTGCTCCACAACCATGTCACTCTTCCATCACAGCCCAGCTCACTCCCAGACCTCAGCAGGCAGCAGGACACGTACAGTGGTAAGGCAGCTCTGCACAGTGCAGGATGGGGCTCACCTGTGCTGGGGAAGGGTCACCTGTGGGGCTTGGGTCCAGGCCTGTGCAGCAGCAGCCTGGGAGAAGATGTATTTCTCTGCAAGGCTGGTGCTTCCTTGCAGCATTCACAGGGCAGTTTCTACTTGGAGCCTTTTCCAGAGGTTTCACAGTCCCAAAATGGTCTGTCTTGGAAGCTCAAGCTTTAAAGTTTTAAATGGCTTTAAAGCTCATCCCCTTCTACCCCCTGCCATGGGCAGGGACCCCTTCCACCATCCCAGGCTGCTCCAAGCCCCCTCCAGCCTGGTCTTGGACACTGCCAGGGATCCAGGGGCAGCCCCAGCTGCTCTGGGCACCCTGTGCCAGGGCCTGCCCACCCTCCCAGCCAACAATTCCTGCCCAATATCCCATCTAACCCTACATGTTTGACCTGTATTTTCCCGTCCCCCCTGCCGGGTGTGGGTGCACAGTTCACAGTGCTCTGCTGTGTAGGTTGGGCTCCCAAACTGAAGTAAGAGGGAAAACAGGGAGTGTCAGCAGGGCACCCCCATCTTCCCTGAGTGTGGAGCAGCAATGCAGGATGAGTTTGGAGGAGCAGGGACTGGGGACCTCCCAGCCTCCTGTGTGGGTCAGCCCCCTGAAGCTCTGCATGTGGCTCTGCTCTCTCTGCAGGCTTGTCCGGGGGGCTGGGGCGCAGCAGCGTCTCCTCAGGAACGAGCGAAATAAAGAGGGAAGAGAAGGAGGATGAAGAGAACACGTCAGTGGCAGATAACTCAGAAGAGGAGAAGAAGGAGCTGAAACCCTCCCGGAACAGAACAAGGTGCTCTTTGAACAGGTCTCTCCCTTCACTTCCTCTGTTCCCAGGCCAGGGGTGTTTGGGCTGGGGTCCAGCTGCCAGCACCTGCTGAGAATTTGGCTTGGCCCAGCACAGACCCCCCCCCAGCCCCTGCCCACCCTGGAGCCTGGTGTGGTCTCACACAGCCTGGGCTCCTGCTACTGCCTGAGGGTCCCTGCCACCCTCCTGCTCATTCCTGTCCCTGTGGCCTCAGGGTGTCCTCATGCTCTTAAAGCAGAAGGATGCACCTTATCCCCCACCTGCCTGTGTGGGCACTTGGAGCCACACAGAGAAGGAAAAAGTGCTCAGTCAGACACAGTTTGACCCCTTCCCTGCCTTGACGTGACTCTGCTCTCTCTTTGGGCTCCTGTATCCTCTGTTGCATCCAGCCAGAGGAGTGGCAGTGGCTCAGGTAGAGTTCTTCAGCGTATTGGCTGCTCTGCAGCCTTGCCACCAGCTCGGAGACCTCACCAGGGTGATGGGTGCCCAGAGAGGCAGCACCAGCCCCACTCCTGCCCTGGAGGCAGAGAGCTGCATCTTTCCAAATTCCAGCTGGGGATTCCAGTGTTGGCCTTCACCTTGTCCGGGCCACCCTGCACTCTCCTGGCAACAAGCTCAGGCCTTAATCACATTGTGGTTTCTTTCTTTGCTGTTTAAAAACAAAACAAAACAAAAAAGAGGCAGAAGAAGAGCCTTAACTGCTTCTCTCTGAAGCCCCTGCGTGTCCCTGCATGTGGCACAGGCCAGCAGGTCCTGGCAGGGCACATGGGGGGTCGGCGTCTTGGTGCGTCACCGTGTGTTTCTTGTCTGTGAGTTGACCAGTGCTGAGAGTGCACACGAGGAATGTCCCTGTCTCGTTCTTATTTTAAACCATTAGTCAAGATGAGGATGAGGAGGACGATCTTCTTCCCCCAGAGCAAAAAGCCGAGAGAGAGAGAGAAAGGAGGGTCGCCAATAATGCCCGTGAGCGCCTGCGGGTTCGTGACATCAACGAGGCCTTTAAAGAGCTCGGACGCATGTGCCAACTGCACCTAAACAGCGAAAAACCGCAGACCAAACTGCTAATCCTACACCAGGCCGTATCAGTCATACTGAACCTGGAGCAACAAGTTAGAGGTCAGTGAGGGTCCCGGAGTGGTGATATTTTACGTATCTGATCGGCACGGGGCTGTCTGTCTGTCTGTCTCCTGTGACGTGCTGTGGTGCCTCGCACTGTCTCTCTCCCCTGTGGCCTTGGGGACCAACCCAAGGCTGTCGATGTCCTTTTTATTTTTATTTTTTTTGCCTTTTTTGCATCCATCCCTGCTGTTCTCTCCTTTGTTCCCCGCTGCCACCGCGTGTGCTGCATGCCGGTCCCCGCGGGGACACCTGTGCCATCCTGCTTCCCCACAGCCAGCAGCGCTCAGTGCTCGGCCAGCAAAGTGACAGAAACCCCACTAGAAAATCTCCCAGAGGTGTCCAGCTCTGCCATCTCCAAGGGCTGCTCTGAGCACAGAGCCTGTTCCTGTCCCCTCTGTGTGCCCGATGGGGCTCTGTGCTCCTGTCCCCGCAGCGTGGCACCTGGCAAAGCCCTGGCACCACGGGAGCTGTGCGAGGGCAGCAGGATGCCGTGGGCTGGGCAGCCCTCGCTGCCTGCATCACTGCTGTGTGACACAGGCTGGGAGCACTGTGCATCCTGAGCCTGGAGCTGCCAGTGGGCACCTGCAGGCTCTGCCCCTCACTGGGACACCCTCAGGGCACCCTCGCTCCCCTCCACACACGTGTGCACCCACGGTGTGTGTGCACCCATCCCAGGGAGGGAAGCGAGGGGTGGCTGTCCCTCTCCGAGGACACGGCTGCTTTATCCCTCATCCCACAGTGCATGCTCCCGCTCCTGCTCCGCCTGCAGCGCGGGGTGCCGGGGCAGGATAACCCCTTTCTCTCTGCAGAGCTATCGTAACACGCGTCGGGGGCTGTGCCTGCCTGTGCTCCTCTCTGCTGGCCTTGCTGTGCCTTGATGTTGGAGTCCTTTGTGCTTCTCTTCAGTTTGTAATTTTTTGCCTTTCATAACATGTATATTTTTTCCTGTCTTCTTTTTTAATTTTCCCTTCCTTTTGATTTTTTTTTTTTTATTTTCCCCTTCTTTTTAATTTTTTTTTTTTATTTCAAGTTTTTATTTTTTGGTTCTGTTCTTTCCAATCTCCTACAGACATGCCCCAGCCGTGACCTCTCGGTGGTCCCACTCTACCTTGTACTTGCTGCTCACGGATCCCAGGCAGGACCGAGGGTGGGGCAGGGCTTAGGCAGAGTTGGCACCATGTTCACTTTGGTCTCCCACGCTTGTCCCTTTTTAAACCCTTCCTGGAGGCAGCCAGGGAGGTGGCTGAGCCCTGCAGGCTCCCTCAGAGGTTAGTGCAGGCAGGCAGTGTCCCCTCCATGGGTTTGTGCTGCTTTCCAGGGGAGAATCCCACCCTCACACACCTCTGGCAGCACTGCCATGGGTACGGGACCATCAGGTCCCTGTGTGCCAGGGGAGCTGCCAGGATCCTCCCTCTGCTGCAGCAGCTATAGGAAGGGAAAGGAGAGGAGTTTTAGGCTGGTTGGTGACCCCCAGGGGCACAAGGCAGCCAAAACATCCCTTCCTCACACAGTGCAAGTTGCCAGCGGTACGTGCCGGTGGTGGGGACACGGCTCTGTCCTGCCCACGTGTGACATCCAAGCCTTGTCCCTGCTGGGGGAGCCACCAGCCAGGACTGGCCACCATCAAGGACCTGCAGCCACCAGCCTGTGCTGGAGGAAGGATCTGGGATCCTGTGTGGGGGGCACAGGTGCCAGGATGGCCCTGTCCCCCCGCCTGTCCTGGGCATGCAGAGAGGAGATGGCAGTGCCAGCTGGGGCAGCCAGGAGGGGACAAGGCAGGGACAAGGCAGCGAGAAGAGGGTGCAGCAGGGACAGTGGGCAGCCCTCTGTCCCACACAGGCAGTGCTCGCCTGTGGAGCCCCTGCTCCCCCTTCACATGGCCATGCACTGTCCCAAGGCTCTCCAGGAAGGCTCTGACTCTTTGGCCCCTCTTTGCTAAAGGTTTATCCCCACATGGCTCCCCAGGAGCCCAAGGCCGCAGGCTGTCCCAGTGTCAGGTCTCACCCAAGAACTCTCCTCAGATAGGTGTCTTCCTGCAAGAAGTTTTGCTCTGGGGGAGAAGGTCGTCTGGGCTTAAATTGGAGCTTTTGAGGGGATGGGCAAAGGCCACGGTTCAAGATGCTGCCAGCACAACTTTGCTTCCCCCCATCCCTGCCTGTGTCGCGCATCCCTGGGGTGCTGTCAGCAGTGGGGGCTCTCCTAGAACTTCTGACTGTGCCTGGAAAAGAAAATCACCTGTTCTGGTGGGCTTTTGGCTGGGTGGAAAGATTGGGATTCAGTGTCTGCATCCAAGTCTGGTCCTCAGAGCAACCCTGGCTCCTGCTCCCAGTGCTGCCCTGGCCCCTAAGAGGGTGCCAGGCCAGGCTGCGCGTGCTGCTGCAGCACCACTGCTCCAAACACCAGCACTGGGAGCTGCAGATGGAATTTGAGAAGGAAATCTTACAAAGGATGATTTGCTTCCTGCCAAAATCTTTCCCTGGGGGACAAACCTGATGTTTTTGGCAGAGACCCTCCCCCAGTCTTTTGAGTTTTTGGTCGAAAACAAACAGGAAGGCAAAATTTTGCAGAGGGTAGAAGGTGTTGGTGGCTGATGCTGCATCAATGCCACCCTTGCCCCCAAGTGGCCCCTCCAGACCCCTGGGCACCTGGCTCTGTGCTGGCAGCACCTTCCCTGGGCTCACAGAGGTGACACAGCCCGGGCTGCTCTGGGAAGCACCCGAAGGAATTGGCTTTGCAAAGTGAGGCCGTTTGGGCCATTTCCAGTGGACACCCGGAGCACTTCCAGCACGGCAACACAGAGCCCCCCTCGGTGGCACCCCCTGACTAACCCCTGTGGTGCTATGAACCCAGCAGTACAGACGAGGCCTTGTCACTGGAGGACAAAGATCTGAGGGACCGGGAGAGGAGAATGGCCAATAACGCCAGGGAAAGGGTGCGTGTGCGGGACATTAACGAGGCCTTTAAAGAACTGGGACGCATGTGCCAGATGCACTTAAAAACGGACAAAGCACAGACCAAACTGATCATCCTACAGCAAGCGGTGCAGGTCATTCTGGGCCTGGAGCAGCAAGTACGAGGTATGGTACCACTGGCAGGTGCATTTTGGGGCCTGCCTCTCCCCCTGTCTCTGCATGCTCGTGCTTCTCTGTCCTGACTCCTGCTTTTGGTGTGAGGTGTGTGTTTGTAGCACCAGCAGCACCTCTGGGTGTTGAGCTCTCCCCAGCCCCAGCCCGGGGTGGATTTGAGGCTCCTCTCTCTCTCTGTTCATGCTTAATATAATTTGGCACCTGGATCCCATTAAGCAGCTTTGGAAAATTCAGTCCTCAACTCTGAGTGCTGGCTGAGGTGCACTGGGGTTCCTATAACAAGCACATGGAGATGCCCTGGCACAGATTGCCCAGAGCAGCTGTGGCTGCTCCTAAATCCCTGCAAGTGTCCAAGGCCAGGCTGGCTGGGTCTTGGAGCACTCTGGGACAGTGGAAGGTGACCCTGCCATGGCAGGGTGTCGGAACAAGACGGGCTTTAACATTCCTTCCAACTCAAACCATCTCATGATTCCATGTTTAAGTGGGGGTGCAGCTGGGGTTCTGCTCGAGCAGGGGCCTGGCAGATTCCTGCACAGAGCTCATCTCCTCGCACGGGCCTGCCTGGGACTGTCCCAGTGTCCCCCTGGGATGCTGCTGCCAGGGCTGATGCTGTTGCCCAGACTGAGGTTGCTCCCCTCCCTTGCTGTTTTGGGCACAGAGCGCAATCTGAACCCAAAAGCGGCCTGCTTGAAGCGTCGGGAAGAGGAGAAAGTGTCCGGAGTGGTAGGAGACCCCCAGATGACACTGTCAGCTTCACATCCTGGTCTAGGAGACGGTCACAACCCTGTTGGACACATGTAAAGGTACCATTCCCCACCTTTGATCCCATGTCCCAGTGTGGGTCCAGCCCTGTGCCCACACCCTGCTCTGCTCTGGCTGGGCAGCCCCGCTCCCTCAGCACCTGCCACAGCCCTGCTTCATTTCCCTGAAATCAATGATTTGCATGTGTGCAAAGCCTGGCACAGGGTGCCCAGAGCAGCTGTGGCTGCCCCTGGATCCCTGCAAGTGTCTAAGGCCAGGCTGGACAGGGCTTGGAGCAATCTGGGACAGTGGAAGGTGTCCGTGCCATGGCAGGGGATGGAATAAGATGAACTTTAAGGTCTCTTCCAACCCAACCCATTCCATGCTTCTCTTTGTCTGTCACGTGCCCCATGGACACCCACAGCCTGTGGCCCACAGGAGAATGCAGCCCCATAACTGGGATGGGGGGGTTTGGAGCTCTCTGAGTGGGCTCTGACTGCACCTCCCAGTCCTGCCCCAGCTGGCTACTGGAAACCAGCAATTCCTTTTCCTTGTGGCTCTATGAGAGGGAACGGGCAGGTCCCAGAAAAGCCAAGAGAGTCAGAGAAGGTGGAAATCCCTTTGATGGGCTGTTCCCATTTTTAAGGGAGCACAGATGTGAGCAGTGCAGAGATGGTGGGGGGGGATTGAGCAGATCCAGGAGTGGCAGGTCAGGAGCTGATCCCATGGAGTGCATGGAGAGGACACAGTCCCTTGGTGTCCCCTGCCCCAGTGGGTGCCTGGGATGGCCTGACCAAAACAAAGGCAAAACTCAGCTGCAGCCCTGCCCAGCCCTGTGGGGACAAGCTGCAGCAGGAGCCTTGGGGCCCCCTGTGCAGGGAGCACAGTTTCATTCTCATTTGGGTTTCTATCACTTCAGACTTCTCTATTTTTATTTGTAGATCTTTTTGTTCCTCTGGATACGGAGATGTGTAGGAAGAAAACCCTCGGTGTGACCTGCAACCCTGTTGAACCATAAACTGTAGTACTGCTCATACTGACACACACAGACGGATCCTGGTGTGACGTAAGGGGTGGAAAAAACACTTTGTCAGAAACAAAACGGAAACAAAAAATTGCCTTAAGTATAAAGTGCAGAACAGTCAATACATATCACTCAGTTAGGAGGGGGTGGCGTGTTCTCTTGGCTTGTTCACAAGCAGCCAGCAGCAAAATTGTGCCTAAGCTTGATATTTCTTTTTTAAAAAAAAAGAACATTAGTTATGAGATTTTTTTATGTAGAACAAATAGCAATGCCTTTTGGTTTTTTTAGCTTCTTTTGCATATGTTTTGTAAGCAATGAAAATTTTTTTTTTTGTATAAAAACATGTCTTGTACCCTCCGCTTTTCTGCTGCTGTTTCTATAGTTAATGTTGCATCTTTAGGATCAACCAGAATATTAAAATTGTATTAAGAGAGACTGGATATAAAGAGAGGAATTCTCAGATTCGGCTCGGAAAGCCACTAAAAGCGAATGTAGCCACAGTGAGGGAATGTTCTTCCTTGCCTGGCTTGTACCTTCCATGACAAAAAACAAACAAACTCATGTGCTGAATTCACCGTCTCTTTGCTTCGGCCACTTCTGATTTGGGAAAAGGAAGTTAAACAGCAAAGCGAGTGGCAGCAGTGCTCCCGCTCCCCCCGGGCCATGACCCAGCTGCTCGGCAAGGTTTGCTTTGTCCCCGGAGATCCCGAGACCCCACGGCTCCATGTGGGAGAGGACACGGCTGTTCCAGAGCGTCACCGTGGGGAGGATGAGCTGCTGGGAGAGAGCAGGCCCCGGGTGCAGGAGAACCAAGGGACTGAGGTGCTTCCAGGTGAGCAGAGCAGCCAGGGATGCACGAGGGAAGTGCCTCTTCCCACATGCCAGAGCTGCCGGAGACACTTCCAGGAGCAGCATTGAACAAAGACCAACTGAACAAAGCTGGAGCACTGGGAAGAGCTGGAGGCAGCCGAAGCACGGCAGCAGCAGTGGGATACAGGGCCAGGAAGCTGGGCAGCAGCAGACCTGAGGATGCTGGAGGCAGGAAAGGAGCAGTGATCTGGCTCACTCCAGCCTCGGCAAAGCCATGACCAGCAGCAGGATCCCTTCTTGTATTGGAAATGCAAAATGCTGGCTCGGGAAGAAGGGTGGCTTCACACCCTGCTGTCACTGCTGTCACATCTCCCAGGCATCCTTGGAGGCAAACTGAGCTCAGCACTGTGCCATGGGACAAGAGCAGGCACCGTCACCTGCACCTGGTCACCTGGGCTCCTCTCTTGGCACTGGGAAGGAGGGCAGCAGGAGTGCCCATCCTGCACCATGTGCTCCAAGGGCAGCCATCCCTTCACTCCAAGGGATTCCCAGTCACTCCAGACCACTCTGGTGTGCTCAGCAGGAAGAGAATCCCTGGCAGCCCCTCTGGCTCCAGAGGTGTGGAGCAAACAGAGGTGCTGGGCAGTGCTGAGCTGCAGCAGCTGGTCTGGAGATGGCCATGGAAAAATGTTCACCAGGAATTTACTCTTGGTTCTTCCCTCTTCTTCCCCTTCTGAAACATTTTGTGCCTGGCTCCTCTCCGCTCCACAGAGCCCAGTCAGGCAGGGTGGCACACGGGACGTGGGTGCTGGTCTGGGGGGATGTGGGGAACTCCCCTCTCCCCTGCAGGGTCCATCTCTCCCGTGCTGCTCCAGCCTGGGCTCCTGGGGAAGCTGTGTTGCTTTGGCATGGGGAAAGGGAGGGACTGGCAAACAGGATTAGATCCTGTGGCACTTCCCAGCAGCCCCAGGCTTTGCCATAACCTGCTGTTCCTCCATGCTCACAGCTGTGCTTCGTGCTCTGGCAAACCTTGCTGGAAGTGCTCAGGGCAGTGCTTATCTCCCACCCACACCTGGGCACCATGGCCCTCATTCCCTGTGACAGCTCCAAGCTGAGCCACTCTAAGTGCCAGGGCAGGATGGGACTGTCCCTGCTGCCCCTGCTCCTGCCCTGGGGCTCCCCAACATCCAACCACCGCTCTGAAGCTTTTGGGTGCTCCTGGCTTTCCCCAGCTTGCTGCTTCCACCATTCCTTCTGCATGGTGAGAGCTCAGCAGCCCCAGCTCTCTCCCTGGGAAGGCCAGGAAAGCTCAGTGGTTCCAGTAACCCAGGTTCTTGCCTGTGTCAACAGACACATTTTAGCCTAATCAGCTCATCAGGTTTTGACACTACCCTCCCTTGGGTTCTTCTGGCTGCTGAAGCAGTTGGCAGGGAGGGGGAAGAGGTTTTCCTCCATGTGTGACAGCCTTGACTCCTATTCATGCTCTGGAGGGCAAACTGGAAGGCTCAGCATCTGCTTTTTGTTTACTTCATGAGAGTTCCTGCTCCATTAGTGAGACAGTGCTGGGGCTGCAAAGTACCCACTGCTCAGGGGTTTTGGCTGGCTCAGTGCCCCTGTCCCAGGGCCAGGAGGGATGGAGCAGTGTCCCAGCCCTGGAAAGCTTGAAACCCTACAAAAAATAAAAGTGCTTCACAGACCTTTTGAATTTGCCCCAAGAATTGGAGGTGGCAGTCATGGACAACGGGACTTAAAGGGACTAGCCAAGAAAAATCCATAAATTCAACAAAATTGGAAATCTGAGAAGATGTATGAGTTGTTCACAAATTTGCTGAACTTCATCCCCTCTGAGTCCTGCAGGCCAGGGGGGAATCCCAATGAGCCAGAACCTTTCTCATCATCCCTGAATCCCCAGGCATTGCAACAAAAATGGGGCTTTTAAGCGGCATTTTGGTGACTTAAGATGTTACTTTGACAGCAAATCCAGCCAACTTCCTTCCATGGCAAGGCTTGGGTGAAGATCCTTGAGCATAAGCCCTCGGAGCCAGGGTTTGGAGAGATCATCTCAAAAGCACAATGTAGGGGGTGGCAGTGCTGTCCCTGGAGCTGCCTCGATGGCAGCCCGGTGGCCTCAGTGGCATCTCTGCTTTCCAGGTGCTCAGGGAACAATTGGGAAGAGCAGCAAGGAAAAATTCCTTTGTCTTGCCAGTGTGTTTGGCTCAGTGTGAACATGGTGCCTGTAACCTGCCAGGGGAAGTGGCTTTTCTAAAAACAACGACTGCCAGGTGCTTTCCCCAAAATACCACCAGCCCAGCCCCGAAATGTCACCCTGTAGCAATGAAACTCTTGTCTTTAGCTGTTGTGATCAGCGAGGGCCAGGCCTGCACTCTCCCCAGCCCACAGCCCTGCTCCATTCCACTTAGGATCTTACAGATCCCCAGACCTGCTCCTCTGCCTGGCTGCGTGTCCCCCCCAGCAGTGGTGCTGCCAGGAGAGGTGTCACGGGTGGGTGACATGCTGTGCAGTGCCATTTATTCCGTTTTCTCCTTCCTCTCTTAGCCTTTGCTTGCATGGCTGCTCCTGGGGACGTGTGCCCTCCTCTTTGGGGGCCACTGAGCCCTGCCAAAGCTTCCTTCATCAGACAGAGGGACTATCTTCCCTTCTGTGCAGCTTCTAGTTCCTCTTTCCCCAGGCTGCATCTCCCAGTGAAGCAGCACAACTGGGACACGGCCATGGGACATTTCTTGTGTCCCCAGCCCAGGAGCCCCCTCTTGCCTCGCTCAGCCAGCCCTCTGCCTCCCTGCACACAAGTTGTGCATGCCACAGTACTGAGGAGTGTCTGGAGTCCAGTCTGTGAACAGTAAAATTGCAGATTTTTGTTTTCTCCCTTTTCACCTGCTTTTTCCCCAGAGCAAAGCAGCTGCAGCCTCCTATGTGTTGGTGCTCAGGCAGTGGTGGCAGCCTGGCTGCTCAAGCTCACAGCCCCAGGGAGCAGAATTCCAGCTGTTTGGCATGTTTGGCTGTCTGCCTGTGAGCCCTCGGCAGATCTACTCACAGCCCCAGCCAGCTCAGGACTGTCTGCTCCCCTGCTTTCACACACAGAGGTGTGCTGGCAGCAAGGATGGAATCAAGCTGTGGTTTCCTCAGAGTCAGTGCAGAAACTGCTCTCCAAGGTCCTTTGTGTCTCACCAGTGTCCCTACTGAAGCCAGCAGAGCCTTTGGGCACTTGCTGGGTGGTTCCAGTTGTGGGGACTTGAGAAACAGGGGCTTTGGAACCCCCCCAATCCCCTACCCCCCTTGAGCTTTGCTGCCAACTTTGGGGCCAGTGGAACCCGAGTTCCTCTTGCAGGCCCTGCTGTGCTACAGTGGGGAGCCTGGGCCAGCTCCAGTTCATCCCTGGGCTTTGGGAGGTGAAACAAAACTCGGGATGGAGCTGAGCCTTCAGCCCCCACCTGCAGTGCTGGCTAACCCAGAGCAAGCCCTGGCCACTGGACTCTCCCATTCCTGCCCAACACCAGCAATAGCAAGGCCTGATTTCTGTACCCCGAGCTTGCACAAGGTCTTTGCCCTGTTAAAAATCCTATGCAAATCTTATCCCTCTCCCCTTTCCCAGGGCTCTGCAGATCCCAGCCCAGCCCATTCTCTGCTCTTTTCTGAGATTGCTCCTGAGTTCATGCTCCCCTGCTGCCCTCAGGGTCCAGCTTCATTCCTGGCAGATCCAAAAGCATTTGGAGACCTGTGCCCTGGAGCTGGGAGGGGGCAGATGAGACTGTAGGAACACCCAGCTCATACTGAGAACTGAACTGGAGGGGACAAGGCCTGGTCCTGGGGCTCCTCCACACACCCTTCACCCTCCTGTGCCTTCTGCTCAATGCTGGTGGGGCACTGCCAGCATCCTTCATCCCCCCGGCCCCCCAAAAGGAGAAGCTCAGTTCCACCTTGTTGGTGCCCAGACTGCCCTGTTCTAACACCTGAGCCTCAGGCTTGCCTGGGGCTGCTCTTCCTTCAGCTGCCCCAAGCCTGAAGGGGTGTTTCCCCTCCTCCCACGATCCCCAATCTCTCCAGCCAGCACCTCTGAGCTGTTGCCCTTTGCAGAGGGGCAGCCCATGCCAGCAGCTGCCCATCAGCTGGGGTGCAGGCAGGAGGATTTGGGGGGTGGGTGCTGCCGCTGTCCCACAGCACGGCTGCCTCTCCCTGTCCTTGGGGGCAGGTGTTGGGGGACCTGGTGCTCTGTACTTTGATTTCCAGGACAGTTCAGCCCTTTTGGGGAGCCAGCACTGCTGTGCCTTGGCCTGCAGGACTCCCAGGGGGAGGTGGGCTCTGGTTAGGAGGGTGCAGGCTCCACGTGAGCTTCTGCCAAACCTTGTGTGTCCATCTGCAGCCCTGCTCCAGGCCAAGGGCAGTCCTGTCGTGGGTCTCCACATCGGTATCTGTGTCCCCCTGGTTTTGTACCCCTCTTGCTCCTCAGGGCTCTCCATTCCCACCCTGGCCCAGACAAGCCCCTGCCATGGTGGAGTGGGCTGTAACACACCCTGGGACAGCTCAGCACGGCTGCAGCACCAGCTCAGGAGAGCAAAGGGGTTTCTGCTCCCCAAGGGGGTGTTCTGGTACCAAGGCCTTTTGCCAAAGAGCATCCCCTGTGTCCCTGGGCTGAGCCTGGGGGAGCCGTGGAGCTCCGGGAGCAGCGAGCTGGGGACACTGCGGGTCTCCCTTCCCGGGGCCACGTCTTCCCAAGTCACTTGATCCCACCAGCTTTTGAGCAAACCTTGTGGCATGGAGCCACTCAGGAGGGAAGGAGCCATGGGAAACCACACACCAGCCACTGTTCGTGTGCCAGGAGAGGGGAAAGAGGCACCTGGTGAGGCAGGACAGGGAAGATCCCAACCCCACGCGTGGGAATGACCCGTTGGGTGCCGAGGCCTCCAGCTCTCTGGGGAAACAAAGCATTCCTGGGATGTTCTTTCTCTATATTTTTGTAGGAATGGGGGGTGGGAGAGCAGATGGGAGATGCCTGCGGAAGTTGTTTATTTTTAACCCTGTAGAAAGTTTTGGGTTGTTTTTGGTTTTTGGCCTTTAAAATAAAAAATGGTCCTTGCTTTTGATGTTTATGCTGCCTACCTGTAAATCCAGATGTACTTAAGTGGCTGAAATCCTTGTTCTTAAATCAGATACACATTATAGTTTTGAACTATATATATAGTAAATATATATATATATATGCCTAACCCAGCAAAAAAAAAAAATAAATAAAGTATTTGGGGGTGGGAAATGCGTTGCTCTTTGAAATGAATCACAATTGGGGGATGAAATTGTGTTTCTGAGTGCCTCAAGATATGAATTGTTTTCCTTTTTTTAAATAATTTTATACAAGTGTCAAAACAGCTGGCTGGATTATTTGGAATTTTTAAATAATCCTAACTTTTTTAAAGTAGATTTTGAGAACTGTCCTGTATATAACAGTAATGTAGCAATAAATGTGACATTTTATAACAATATTACTTTTTTATCCCCTTGTGTGTCCTTCAGCTGTTGTATCCCTAGGAATGAGAAGTTGGAATAAAGGCTTTGCCTTGCACTAAAAACAAAAGAAAACAGCAGACAGGTTTTCAGACACTTGCCCTGGGTGTGGATCCTGCCCCTTGCATCACTGTTGTTTCCTTGCCTCTGCCCCTGGGGAGCAGCCACAAGTGGAAATTCCAGTTAAATGCCCCCAGCCTATCCCAGGAGCCCAGCACAGACTGGTGATGGGAGAAATTAATCAAATCAGAGTCGTTAAGTCGTGAAAAAGACCTTTAAGATCATCAAGTCCGACTGTCAGTTCACCACTAACCCATGCCCCAAGCACCACATCCATTGTTCGAACACTTCCAGGGATGATGACTTCAGCCTGTTCCAGTACCTGACAACCCTCTTTGTGAAGAGCTTTTTGCTGATATCCAACCTAAACCTTCCCTGGCACAACTTGGGGCTGTTTCCTCTTGTCCTGTCCCTTGTTCCCTGAACAGCCTGACCCCCACCTGGCTCCATCCTCCTTCCTCCCCTTCGGGCTCCAAGGTCCCCCAGGACGTGCACAGAATTACAGATTGATTTGGGTTGGAAAGGGCCATAAAGCCCATCTTGTTCCACTCCCTGCCACAAGTAGGGAACACCTTCCACTGGACCACAAAGCCCCATCCAACCTGGCCTTGGACACTGCAGGGATGGGGCAGCCACAGCTGCTCTGGAGTATCTGTTCCAGTGTTCCTCCTGCATGTTCACAAGTTGCTGAGCAGGCTCCAGCAGGGCCTGGGGAACACTGGGAGAGACTGAGAGGCTGTGACAGGAGGGTTTGCGGAGGCACTGATGGGCTCTGGGGAAACCGCTTTGGGAAGGGAGCAGCTCCCTGCAGCACGAGGCCGAGTCCCAGCTCAGTGGGGGAACACCGCCACCCCTCAGCGCCTGTGTCCCCTCTCCAGCCTGGGGTCATCCTGTCCCCTCTGGGCTTATGTCAGGCCTCATGTCCCCTCTCCAGTGCAGGGGCAGCCTGTTCCCCCACGGCAGCTGCTGTCCTCTCTCCGGGACATGGGGGTCCTGGTCCCGGTGTGGGGACAGCCCGCCCCCTCGGCCCTCTCCAGCATGGGGACAGACTGTCCTTTCAGGTCTCGTGTCCTCTCTCCGGTGCGGCGACAGCCCGTGCCCTCGGCTCGTGTGTCCTTAGTCCCCGTGTCCCTCAGGGCCCGTGTGCCCGCTCCCCCCAGGCACAGCCGCAGCCTCTCAGCACCGAGCGGGGCCCGCTCCGCCCCCGGCCCCGCTCCGCCCCCGGTCCCGCTCCGCCCCCGGCCCCGCTCCGCTCCCGGCCCCGCTCCGCCCCCGGTCCCGCTCCGCTCCCGGCCCCGCTCCGCCCCCGGTCCCGCTCCGCCTCAGCCCCGCCTCAGCCCCGCCCCACCTCAGCCCCTCCCCGCCCCCGCTCAGCTCCCGGCCCCGCCCCGCCCCATCCCCGCGCGTGCTCGGGGCGGCTCCAGCCCCGCCCGCTCCGCGCCGGCGCTCGGGGTCACTTTGAGGCGGCGCCGTCGCCATGTTGAGCCAACTGCTGGGGCCGCGCTACGCGCAACTGCTGCGGACCTGGTGAGGGGGGACCGGGCTGCCCACCCGCCCTGCGGCTGGCTGGGCCTGCCCGCTTCGACCCGGGGCTGTTTGTCCGCTCCGACCCGGCCTCTGCTCGCCCCGCCCGGAGCTCTGCGCTCCCCTCACCGCGTCCTCCGGGCACGGCCGCGCACTCAGCGCGCACTGTGGGAGCCTGAAGGGCGTCCCGACCCCTTCCCGAAGCCCTGCCCGAGGCTTCCCCGTTCCCTCCGCGCTCTGCGCCCTGTGAGGGTCTCTGGGGACGGTTCTGGAGGGGGGAGCAGCGCTCGGGCCGGGGCTGAGGGGCCGAGGAGCCGGAGAAAGCGCTTGCGGCCCACCCGGCGCTGGCTGTATTTCACATATATAAATATAACAGTGCCCGTGGGTGCCCTTTGTAGGGCTGTGGGAAGCAAAACGAAGTTTTCGGCGGTGCAGAACCGACGGGATGTGGCTGCAGCAGTGTATAGCAGTGTGTCTTGTCTTTGCTGAGTAGTAGTCTTTTAAAGTAAAAGATTATGACCTTTATCCGTCAGATATCTTGTCTGCCCTGAGGATTAATGCTGTTTCATGTCTGTGAGGTTCTTTCAATATTTCTGTGTCCAGTTCGGGCGCCACAAGATCAGGAGGATCCAAAGCTGTTGGACAGTGTCCAGAGGAGGGACACGGAGCTGGGGAAGGCTCTGAGGAGCAGCTGAGGGCACTTGGCTCGTTCAGCTGGAGCAGAGGAGACTGAGGGGAGGCTCCTCGGGGGCTGCAGCTCCTCCCGAGGGGAGGCGGAGGGGCAGGGGCTGAGCTCTGCTCTGGGACAGGGACAGGAGCCCAGGAAGGGCTGGAGCTGTGCCAGGGCTTGGGATGGATCTCAGGGCAAGGTTCTTCCCCCCGAGGCTGCTGGCACTGCCCAGGCTCCCCAGGGAATGGGCCCGGCCCCAAGGCTGCCAGAGCTCCAGGAGCGTTTGGACAGCGCTCTCAGGGATGCTCAGGGTGGGCTTGTTGGGGGGTCTGGCCAGGGCCAGGGCTTGGACTCAATGATCCCTGTGGGTCTCTTCCAGCTCAGGATATTCTGGAATTATAAGCTCTTTTCTTGATTGAAGTGAGTTTCTCAGGTACCTCAGCCATGAGCATCTGCCAGGCCTTTCATAGTGGTAATTTGTTGTTTACCCAGGTGTGTGTCTCTTCTTTAGGACCCCCACCCTTGTGACATGGGGTGGAGTGGCTGGTGTTGGTGTGATCTGGGCCACAGACTGGAAGCTGGTCTTGCAGTATGTTCCCTACATCGGCGGCAAGTACAAAACTGAAGACTGAGCTTCCCTCTAATGGTGAGTTTTGTTTGTGCTTCTCTTGGCTTAATCAATAGAATTATAAAATCACAGAATCCCAGGCAGGTTTGGGTTGGAAGGACCTTAAAGCTCATCCTGCTCGGCCCATGCCATGGGCAGGGACACATTCCACTATCCCAGGCTGCTCCAAGCCCTCTCCAGGACAGCCTGGCCTGGAACACTTGAACACAATTGCCCTGTGTTGGTGTGACAGTGGATGTTTCCTCTTTGCCTGGGGCACAAGCATTTTTTTTTTTTCTTTTTTCCTTTTTTTTTTTTTTAAATGGAGCTTCACAGAGCGCCAGAAGGATCTAATATTCATTAGAATATGTTTTTCAAGTGATTATTTTGCAAGCAGCAGATCTTCCACAACAAAATGCAGTTCTTAAGAGGTCAAATCAAGCTAATTTGGAACTTTTGACTTCTGTTCCTGAGCAGAAGGGCTACAAGCTAAGGTCTAGTTTTGTGACTAGGCAAATTCAGACTCCTTTCTGCTCCTTGCAACTGGTATTAAAAGTAAATTGAATTTTCAAAGCTGGTTATTGTATTCCACAAATTCCTTGGAAGATTTGCTTTCTCGAGGTTTGGGTTATTTTCCTTCTTTGAATGTTTATCAGAAGTGCTGTTCCAAATGTTCTGAAAGTCTGACCATTCCTAAAGCTGGAGCAGCAATTATACAATCCTTCTGTTGGGGCTCTAACTGCATATTCTTTCTAGTAGCCAGGCTTCAGATTTCCTTATTCCTTGCTGCAGATAGAAGGGAGTTAGGAAGATTTTTCCATTTGTTAAAGGATGCTAATGGGGAAACTCAGAGTCCAGAGGAAACTCTGTCTACCTCAGTGTTCGTTTCCTCTGGTCAGAAGAACAGTTACACCTAAATGTTGACTAATGGAAGTGAGCTACTTGTGTTCCAGCTACACAGTATTTTGTAGGGAAGTCGGTCAGTTTGGGAAGCACAGACAGTACTTTTTAAGGTTTTTCTTAGCAGTAGTTGTTGCAGTTTAAACAATTTACTGTTTGTAAACTCAGTATTGCACAGATCCTTCTGTAACCAACAGAGGAGTGAAATTGTCTTGGAAGTCAGCTGAACTGGAGGCATTTTGGGTCATTGTGATGTTTACAGACAAGTCACAGAGCCATAAAATCACAGAATGGTTTGGGTGAGAAGGGTCATTAAAGCCCATTCAGTTCCACCCCCTGCTATGGGCAGGGACACCTTCCACTATCCCAGGGTGCTCCAAGCCCCATCCAACCTGGATGGAGAAAAGCTTTCAACTGGAAAAGCTCTCAAGTTACATAGAGGCAATTAAATTACTTTCTAAGGGCTTTCCTTCCTTAAAAATTGTCAGTAGTAGGAACACAGCTCTATTCCTGAGCCAGCAGCCTGCGTTTCCCATTTTGAAGTGAGAACTTTGTGTGTCAGTCCTCTGGAAAGAGGAGCAGAGAAAGGGGATGTGTCTGTGGTGGCCTGTGCTCCCTTCCAAAGGGACTCCAGGCCTGCACACCCGCAACTGGATCAGCTCCTGGATCAGAAACTTCCTGCCTGGCTGCTGGGGGCTTTGAAAACCTCTCGTGTTGGCTGCTGTGGCACTGTGCAGGAAGCTCTGCTTAACGACTGCTCTGTGTTTGTTGTAGGATTGTTATTGCTGGAGAGTGTTTGGAGCCATCCGTCCGCTGAGACCCTGCTTGGGGTGACCCTGAAATACCCAGTACAGATTCTGCAAGCAGTTGTGATCTGTCTGTCTCTCCCATGAACAGCTGTGAGCAAATTCACCTTCACTGACCACTTCCTCTGAGCACTTTCCCAGCACATCTTGCCTTGATGGGAGTAATTTATAAACCTGGTGTACAAAATAAACCAAGTGAATGATTTTTTGGGGGTTGGGTTTTTGGGTTTCTGTGTGTGTGTGTGTGTGTGTTACCTTCTCAGTCTGCATTCTTAAGACCAGACTTCTGGTTTGGTTTTGGGTTCTAGAATCATGGAATCACAGACTGGTTTGGGTTGGGACACCTGGCATGTTATCCCAGGTTGCTCCAAGCCTTGTCCAGCCTGGCCTTGGACACTTCCAGGGATCCAG